TCTCTCCAGTCTCCTTCTTGCCACCCACATCAAACAATACCAATCAGACTAGAAGAGGTAGAAAAGAAATTAGATACCAAACCCGAAACCCAGAAAGGTCACAGAATGCTGTGTAGCTTATCTGTATTAGGAATGACCTGAATTTTGGTTCCTGAACAAGTCAGAAAAGCTCCTATAACCCACAATTCTTTACATAAAATTCCTTGGCAGTTGCCACTACAAATCTTCTAGTCTTATCCTCTCTGTGAGAAATAATACTATAAATGCAACTGCTGTCAATCACGGAAGGCTGCTTCAAGGTTATGCCAGGTCAGATCTGGAAACCCAAGGATCTGTGAGTAAGGTGTTGACGGCAGGGTGGGTGGCAAATGTGAATGGAGAGATCTTGAAATTTACAAGCTGCTGTCAGAGGAAGATCAGGGCTAAAAGAACGCCTAAATTGGAAAGAGAAAAGCAGAACGAAAGGAGATCAGGAACTACAGCACAAAAATGTGTTGTGGTTTTATTATAGAAATGTTCACGAATTTAAAGACACAACTAAAAAAGGTTTAAATTTACAGTAAGCATAACTGGTCCTTATAACACGGCCAAATAGTATTCCACCTTTTTATAGAGAGTCGTCTTTGTCTCATGCAAGCTGCCTGTTTCTTGAGTCATTTCTTTTCTCAGAGTTGACTGGTTTCTTAACTATTTTCCACTTTTCCATTTGCAGTAGGTTTCCTGTTCATCTCAATAGATTGTACCTTATAATAAAAATGGTAGTTAAGTCAGCCAAAATATATGTCTTTGACAGGAAAAAAATGAACTCAGGAACAAATAAAAGTGGAAAAAGAAGAGATCACCTTTTTCAGGTTTTCTGGGCTTCCTACTTGTATCTTTCCCTGACTCCACTAGGGATGCTCTGAATGCTCAGTGAACTGCTGTAGACCATCAAGGTTTTCAAATGACTTCAAATGACATATTTTCATTGCATTCCAAAAAAGTGATGTTTGTATTACACCCTCTCAATATACTTTCCTGAATAAGATGGTGGTTATGCTTGACAAATTCACAAAATACAAATGCTAATAATTTTTCAAAGAACGAGAATATCTCTAAAAATTAAAAAATGTTTATCGTCTTTCTTCTTTCACCATAAAGCCATCACCAGGTTATTCAATGGTAGTTGAGAGTGGGTGTGTATACCGAGGCAGCTCAATATTTCTATTTCTAGCTAGCATATACTTCAACGGACTATCTCAATATTCAGTAGCTGAATGGCAGAATTGTCAACCAGGCCTTTCCACACCCAACTACTATAGTAGCTCCGTTTTTAGAAAGAAATTAAAGTCTTAAAAATTTAATTTGCATAATGAAATCTAATCAGTCATCCTTCAAGATTAAAGCAGGTAATATTGATAATACAATAAAAAAACACTGAGATCTGTATAAACCAACAATATTTTTCTTCGGCCTTAGATAACATTATAATCAATCTATATAAAATGTACAACAGATCATTTCTGTTATGCTTTTGAAATTAAATGGCACTGTGAAAATATAAAGTTTAGAACTGATTTATGATTTTTTTAGGGTGACTGACTATTAAATAGTACAATGTAGAAGACTAAAAGCTATTGTTAATGAAGGTGCAGGTATCACCAACTAAAGATCCGGAAGTGTTTTCCTAGAGCCAGATACTCTCGTGAGTTTGGCCACAAATGTAATTCATAAAATATCCGATGACAGAATAATTGAAAAATGGATAAGTTTTAATGAAATATTTTAAGCTTATGTAAGGTGTGATAAAAAACTATGATGTGTATTTAAATTTTTAAAAATCACACAGTAAAAGACACATTGCCATGAATCTCCCTCAAAATACCTGCCTCTCTTCAAACACACTTATCCCACTTTTTTTGCCACTTTCTGAAGTAGTTCTGGAAGTTCTCTTCTGTGTCTAGTTGCACTGTTGTGGCTGCCTTAAGGTCTCCAATCAGTTTGAAACAGTGTTCATGGTTGCTGTGACTTTGGGAAAGATCCAGAAGTCACATGGTCAGATCTGATGCTACAGTAGAGGAAGACAGCCCGCAGTATTTTCAGGAGCCAGCCTGTCTGTCAGATGGCGGGGCAGTCACTGGCCAGTGACATTCACCGTATTTTTGATCACATCTCATAAATGCACTCATGAATGAGGTCTTTCAAAAGTGGCAAGAACAATGGGGTAAGTGCATATGAAGGGAGGAGGAGTATTTTGAGAGGGATTAATGGTGTTGTGTCTTTTACTGCAACAAATTTTAAATATTGAAACATTCACTGCAGTTTTTGATCAACCCCTGCATATTCTGGGAATTGTGAGAAAGAGGATTTTTTTCTTCCAAATTGGAAGGAAATTATAGCCTAATGTGATGGTTCCCACAAAACATCTCAGATCTTTTCCCTGGGTTTCTCTGGCCAAACATTCCGGGCGTTTTCTGCTGTTTTTCTGATGGTGGCTGCTCAGTATCACTTGCGGGTTTGGTTCCCCCTCTCTGAATGGCCTTTGAAGTGGAAGGTAACTGGGTTCTGCTTTTGGTCTTCTGCTTTTATTTTCTTGCTCGACTTTCCTTGAGCCCGTTCACTCACAACCTTGGCTTGAAGACCAGTAGTTCTCAAGTGAATGTTCTCTAGCACAGCTCCATTCCTGATGGTCAGGCCTGAAGGTCTGGTGCACTATTCTGCTTGGATCTTCTATGGCCACTCAGAACCAGCATGCTGCCAGCAAAGCTCAGGGGCTTCTATCCCTCCACTCTGCCCCATCCTCTGGGTTTGCTGTTGTGGAAAGCACGTTATCCACCCTAGGGTAAGAGATAGAGGAGAGTCTGCCAAGCTGTGCCATCTCTCTCAGCACCTACAGCCAACTCACCACCGCTCCCACCTGTTCTCCCTGTGAAAACATCTCTCCACGTGTTGTAACCTTTAGCATCACCCTTCACTTAGGCCACTGTCATCTCTTCCTGTATTAGCACAACGTTTTTCTACTGGATCTTCGTGCTTCCTTCAGTTTGCTTTTCAGTGTGAATTTGGCCTTATTTCCCTGTTGAAGCTCCTCTAGTCTCCTCAGTGAGGTTTGCCTAGTCTTCCCGGATTTGATCCCTGACCACTTGCCCCATTTTTTCTCTCTTCCCTATAATATTCGTGTTCTTTCCTAACCCTCCTGAACTTGCTAATGTCAAGTCCTCAAGTGGAATATGCCTTTTTCCCTCTCTCTCTCTCCCCAAGTCTTTGTCCATGTGAATCCCTTTTCTCACCTACCAGGAAGCAATTTTGCATTGTATCTGTACACATGGCTGCTAAGAAGAGATGTTTGGACCAAAGCCCTGACTCACCATTTTCTACTCTTTAGTTTTGATGGGGCCTTGATGATGGGAGTGGTGGTGATGGTGATGCTGGTGACGGTGATGTGTTAGGACAAATATTTACTCTTCAGGGTTATTATGAATAGATAATAAGTGGGATCTAGGAAGCACTCAATAAATATTAGTGGTTATGGTGATTATTTCTCAACTAGGTATATATCATCTTATGGAAATCTTTCTCTGAGGCTATGAATTTGCTTCCTGTTTATATTTTTCCATAGCATCCTGCGTATAATATTTGTGGTCACAGGTGTCATACTACGTGGTAACCAATTCTCTGTGGTAACCATCTCTTCCCTGATGGATTATAAATTTCTTGAGGTCAGGGTTTTATTTTGCTCACCATTACCCTCTCAGCATCTTGTGTTTGGCTCATAATAAATGCTCAATAAATATTTCTTAAGGAAAACTAGATCATTATAATTAATCATCACAGGCAACTCAATTTTCACATAAAAAGATCTTTGCCGTATAAGAGCTGAGATCTCAAGGAAAAGATGAGATGTAATGACTCTGCATTTATACATTCTGTCATTTCAATGTATTTTAAGGAAATATTTATATTTAACTGGTGTTAGGATGAACTGAGAACACTTGGGCTTCTCCCTGTAAACAACAACAACAAATTTTAAATAACTTCCTTAGTATAATTAAAGTCAGCTTGAGTGTTCCTGACCCTTTACATGACTTAACAGAGAAGAGAAAGGGAAAGTGAAAAAGAACATGTTTCCTACAATGTGAGAGAAATCTAAAGTCCTTGGGCTGAAAAAGAAGCAAGAATTTGGTTCCAAGGAAGCAGGAAAAGGCTCACCTATATACAATCAGATTCCTCTTGTTTCTATCTTGCTCTTTTCAAGACCAATCTGGGGGGCTCTGTCATTCTATCAATCTTTATTTCTGTTTCCATTTGTCTCCCTGTGCCTGCTACTCCTACTCCTCCTACTAATGTCAGCCCGTCCTCTTCCTAAATTTTAAAAGCTATTGGTTGGGAAGTGATTGTTGCAAGAGAATTTCTGTTGTGGACCTACTTTAAACATGTAAAATAAAAATATTCTTGGTAATAGTATTTTAAAATCCTTCATTCTTTTTTTTTCTGTTCAAATCCAAATCAGAATAGGAAGTATATGTTTAGGAACAAAGAAAATTAGTTTTGTATAAAATTGAGCAAATATTCTTTTCTCTTAAAGGACATAATACTAAGAATAATTTGTACCATTAGTGGAAGGGCCAAAGGAAGAGGCATTTTGAAGCTATAATTCATATTATCTTTATTTTTTTCTGTTTAGTGGGCCCTAATAATCACAAGGGGCATGTGTTTTAGGGAGGAAGGAAATACATCAAAACTGGTTAGTAGCAATCACGTAAATTGCTGGTGAAGTTAGGAACAGCAAAGAGACAGATTAGGTACAATGCAGAAATTCACAAAAAGAGAAGAAAACACTGCAAAATATCTGCACTCTTGTGATCACAGGTCAGAAGCAAGCCAAGTGACCAAGTACAGAGTCAAGGGCCTAGAGAAGCACTAACTGTCCTGGTGCCATGCCCAGTTGCTTTGCAATGAGTCACCATCTCTTATATATTCTCTTTCTATTTTTACTATTCCATTTTGTAAAGTTTCAGACACAGGGAAAGGGAGAGAAGATAGTGTAAGACATCTCTGGCAGCTATTACTCAGCTTCAGCAACAATAAGTTCCATGAGGTGAATGCATGTATGAGCAGTCAGAGTCTTGAAAGAAAGAGATGATATTTTGAAGGTACGGGCTGTGTCTGGGGACTTAATAAGAGATAGTAAAGGGCCCTGAGCTCCAAACAATGAAGACTGCCACCAACCCTGAGCTCAAAGGCATGAGAGGAGGCAGCCGTTATTGCAACCCTGAGAGGCTGTCTGTCTGGACGGATGACCTTCAGTAAAAAGACCTCTTCAACTCTGACCACCTGGCAAGGAGAGATTCTAAGACGTGGATGAAACACAGTCAGAACCCGAGAATGCCATGGTAAGTGAAATAAGCCAATCACAAAGAAGACAACCCTCTATAACTCTTCTTCCATTAGGTACCCTCAGTAGTCAAATTCATAGTGAAAGGAAGTAGAAGGGTGGTTTCCTGGACAAGGGAGAGAGAAGTGGGGTTACTAAGAGGCTATGAAGCAAGAATCCTAGAACTATGTGTGGCTGAGGGAAGAGAACTGCAGGTTGGAGCCCAGACTGGGGAACTTATTGGCTTAGTAAAACCTTGTCTGGAAAATGGGCTGGGGGTGCATCTCAGTGTGGAGGCCTGGGCTTCATTCTCCAGTACTGAAAAAGAAACAAACAAAGACAAAAAAGCAGGACAAAACAAACAAACAAACAAACAAACAAACAAACAGCTATAGATGCTCACTTTAGCAAGATTAAAAGAGTTCTGGAAATTGATTGCACAGTGTGAATGTATTTAACTCTTTTGAACTCTAGCCCCAAAATGGTTAATATAGTGTTGTTGGCTGAATTATATTCTTTCAACTTCCATGTGCTACAACCCAGCATTTCAGAATGTGACTGTGTTTGCAGACCATGCCTTTGGAGAGGTGATTAAGTTAGACTGAGGCTGTTAGGTTGAGCCCTATTCCGATCTGGTGGATGCTTTTGTAAGAAGAGGAAATTTAGACACACATAGAAGCACCAAAATAAAATACCATGTGAATACATGGTGAGAAGGTTGCCATCAATAAGCTAAGGATGCAGGAGAAACCAAACCTATTGGTACTTTGATCTTAGACTTCTAAGTTCCAGAACTGTGATTAAACAAATTTATGTTTGAGGCTACCCACTCTATGTTATGTGTTGCCGCAATCATTGCAAACTAATACAGATGGTTAATTTTGTTATGTGTACTTTACCACAATTAAAAAGCTATGTGGGGAGCAATGGTCTATCCAGTTTTTTTGTGGACGAAAGTCTGAGAAGTTTTTGAGGCAACAAGAGATGAATAGGGAAGAGGAAAAAATTGTATTTTGTGTAAAGCATTTTGACCGGGGCCATATGTTCAGACATTTTGAGTTCTAAAAACCTACTGTTGTGTGGGTTTCTGAGTTTGACTGAAGTCAATGTAGAAAATAAGATAAATATTTGTGGGCCTTCTTTGCCATATTTAATGTGGTCATGCTTGAAAGGAAGCCCTTGAAGAGGCAATGTGGGTTCTTGAAACTTATCTAATAGTACAAGTATCAAATAACCATGACAAGTATTAAATTTATTAGTAAATCTTTATTGCTTAGTGTAGTATTGAGTGGAAAGATATTGATCATGTAACTAAATATTGTTTTTTCTGTTTTACAGATGAGGGCATTAAACCTCAAAGATATTAATTTGCTTAAGTTCCTGAATCACATAACATATACAATTCACATATAGCTGAGCTTTAAGCAGGGAAAAAACACCTATAGATTTTTAAAAAATTACAATAATTGTCTTATTTAATCCAATATATCCAAGGTATTGTCTTAATAGTAGTCAATGTAAAAGAATATTAATGTATTTTATATTCCTTTTATTTTGCTACTAAGTCTTTAGAATCTGATATGTACTTTATATTTTCAGCATGTGTCAATTTTGACTAGCTCTATTTGACTAAAAGCATATATAATTTTAAAATCCGGCTGCTGTAGGAACTGAGAGACTGGGCCAGCCATGGGTTTGAATGTGTCCCTCAAAAGGTCCTGTATGGGAAACTTAGCCCCCAGAGCTCTATGCTAATGTACTTGGAGCTGGGGTGCAGGGATGTCATTACGGTCCGATGAGATGGTAAGTGTAGGTGCCCTCAGTGTAGTAGTGACTTTGTGAGAAGAGGGAGAGAAACCTGAGCTAATGTGCCTGTGCTTGTGCACTGTGTGACACGCTGATACAGTGTGAGACATCGAGAAGGTGTCCAGTAGATGCCAGGACTGTGACTCCCAGCCTCCGAAATCCTGAGCCACACAGAATTATATTCTTTATAAATTATCTAGCCTCAGATATTCAGTTATGCAGCAGAAAACAGATGAAGACGAGCATGTTAAACTAAGGAGAAATTACTTCCTGTACTTTCTGTATGTGCATGGGAAGTCTTTCTATTCATGTTGAAAGTGGGAAGTGGGGAAAACCGTAATACCTTGAAAAAATTACTTGTGGGTCCTTCAAGCTTATTCAATAGTACAAGTATCAAATAGCCAACCTTATGATAGGTTTTTAAATTTGTTCATAAAAATTCTTTAAATGAACTTTGTTGAGGTATAATTTATATGGTAAAAGTACTATCTGTCTATCTGTCTGTCTGTCTGTCTGTCTATCTATCCATCCATCTATCATACTGGGTATTGAACTCAGGACCTTCACAGTAAGCTACATCATCAGCCCTTTTTAATTTTTAATTTTTTAGGGTTTTGAAACAAGTTCTGCTAAGTTGCTAAGTCTTCCAGGCTGGGCTTGAACGTGTGATCTTTCTGCCTCAGCCTCCCAGGGTGCTGGGATTACAGGTTTTCACCACCATATCTGGCTAATATACCCATTTTAAATGTAGAATTAGCCAGGCATGGTGTGTCATGCCTGTAATCCTAACACTCAAGATGATAGGGCAGGAGAATCTCCATGAGTACAAGGCCAGCCTGGGCTACATAGTGAGTTCAAGGACATAGTGAGACAAGAAAACTTGTCTCAAAATAACAACAGAAGTATAGAATTTGATGAATTTTGACAAAGATATATGCCTACAAATACTACCAAGATCAAAATATAGAACATTTTCTTTACTTCCATATTAATCATATTTCCCCCCAAAACAGAACCAATAGACTATATATTTATATGATAAGGAATTGGCTTGGACTCTTAAGGAGGCCGAGAAGGCTCAAGGCCTGCAGTGTGTGAAGCATATGGCAAAAGTTCTACTCTAAGGGTGGGCTGGAGAAAACTCATGTTCCTATCAAACAGCCAGAAAGGCATAATTCCTGCCAGTCAGCCTTTCTGTTCAGTTTAGGTCTTCAGTTGATTGGATGAAGTCCACCCACGCTGGGGAGGAAAATCTGCTGTATGGAGCCTACAGACGCCAATGTTAATTTCACCGAGAAACACTTGAAGGCCCATTCACAATTAATGGTCAAATGTCTGAATCCCCAATGGCCGAATGATGTTAAAATTAATCATGACAGTGCCCTAAATTTTTATCACTTATTGGGCCAGGGCTTTAGCTCAGTGGGGCAGCGCCTGCCTTGCAAGCTCAAGGTCCTGAATTCCATCCCCGGTACATTTAGCACTTTTCATGTCAGCCTCTCTTTCCATTTTTCTACCCCTAATACCTCTGCTCCAAGAAAGTAGTGATTTCTTTTCTATTACCAGTAGTGGTGTGATCAAATAGTACAATAAATACTTAGGCTTTTTTCCAAGCATTTATTACAGTTAATGACACATTGCCACTAAGCCCCCAGAATATTACCTCTGACTTCAGACACACTTACTGTTCTTGACACTTTCTGAAGCAGTTCTGGAAGTCTTCTTTTCTGAGTATCTTTAGTTCTGATGTCCTGGCTGCTTTGATGTCCTGCATGGATTTAAAATAGTTCCCTTCCTTTGTTATTCTGACTGCAGGAAGGGCCAGTAGTTGAGTGTTGCTAGATCCGGTGAATAAGGTGGATGAGGACCACCATAATGTTTTTACAAGCTTGGTTTTCCATTGGGTGGCACTCTGCAGCAGCATTCACTCCATTTTTGATCATGACTTGAAAAGACACTCACAAAATACTTCCAGGGGCAAGTATATTTGAATCAAGGAGGAATATTCTGAGGGGGACTAATGGCAATGTGTGTTTTACTGTAATAAATAAAAAAATTTAAACATTAATTGTATATTTTGATCACATCAAGTAGGAGCCTTCCACTTGGAATTTTATATAAATAAAATTATACAATGTTGTTACGTTTTTTATCTAGCTGTCCCCACAAACCTTCATGCACTCATAGGTGGGGCTTTTGGGAGGTGTTTGGATCATGGATCATGGGAGTGGGATCTAATCCATTCGTATTGTTGAGTTTATAGCTAAGTGTGATGTTGGAGGATGAACCCTGGTGGGAGGAACTGGATCTGGAGATGTGGTAGCTCCTTTTCTCCTCCTTTGACACCTCTCTCTCTCTCTCTCTCTCTCTCTCTCTCTCTTCTCTCTCTCTCTCTCTCTCTCTCTCTCTCTCTTTCTGGCTCCCATGCCATGAGCAATATTTCTCTGCCATTCCACCCTGCCTTCGAGCCAGCCAACTATGGACTGAAATCTCTAGAAACTGTGAGCCAAAATCAACTTCTCTCCCTTTAAGTTGTAGGTGTCAGACATTGTGTCCCAGCAACAAGGAAGTGACTAAGACAGATTTATAGGTTTGTTTATTTATTTATTTAGAAGGAGAAGGTCTGGATTCCATCAGCTAAATATTTTTGAGATTCACTCATAGTGCATATATGTCAGTAGTTTATGTCTTTTAATTTTTTTATTGGTAGTGTTATTCCATTGCATGAAAATACAATACTTGGTATAGTCAATCATTTGTTGAAGAACAGTTGGGATTTTTGATGACCATCAAAGCCAAATTGTTTGTATGAATATATGCTTTCATTTCTCTTGGGTTGCTACCTAAAAGTGGGATTGCCGAGTTGCAAGTTTGTGTTCAACCTCATACAAAATTGTTAAACCATTTTCCAAAGATACCTCACTATGCATTCTCATCAACCACATATAAGAGTTCCAATTGCTTCACATTTTCATCAGCACTTCCTGCTGTTGGCCTTTTTAACTTTAGCCACTATAATGGGGATGTAGTGGTTTCTAATTGTGGTTTTAATTTGCATTTCTCTGATGACCAATTATGTTGAATCATTTTCACATGCTTATTGGCTATTTGTATATCTTCTTTAAAAAAGAGTTTGTCCAAATATTTTACTCGTTTTTCATTGGATTGTTTGTCTTGATTTTCTGTTCTTGTTTGTTCTTGTGATACTGGGAA